GGGGGGGGGGAAGGGAGGAGGGATGGAGGGATGGAGGGAGGAAACGCTGGGAAGCTGGGATAACAGTCAAAAGACAGGGTGACCAAGCATCCAGTTTGCCCAGGACTGTTCCAGTTTTAGCAGTGAAAGTCCCACATCCTGAGAACTTCTCAGTTCCTTGGCCCTGGGCAAATCAGAAAGGTCATTCTAATCAAATATATAAATAAAAGAAAGATGAGTCTATAAGGAGAGGAGGTAGAAAAAATAAGACATTGATATATGGAGATAGATAGGTAAATAGATGCTGAGTATAAAAAAGGAAAGCAGAAAAGAAAGAAATGACAGAAAAACTACCCAAAAAAGACTAATAATTTGTGAGAGAAAGGTAAGTAGTGAAGAAACCCAAATTTGGTTTCGTCTCATGAGGTGAGACTAAAGGCAGACGGAAAGGGACAGAAGACAACATACAGATTTGCTCCAGTGTTTGATGCTGGGAATCGTAAGCAGGGAAGTGAAGGGTATCCTGCAGCTGGGCTCAGGGAAACGGTCTCACCCCGGACAGCTCGGGCCCACAGGCCCAGAGGGCTGGTAAGAATTTCCTTCTCCTGTCTAAAAACCCCAGCTGCTAGAGGCTCCCTAACTTTCCTGCTTCAGTCATTCACAGACCCTGCAGTAAATTAAGCGTCCAGATCCCCTGTGAGAGGGGTCTTGGCACAGATATCACAAAGCCAGCCGCAGGCAAGACAACCTGCAGAGGCAGAACCCACAGAGGGAGTTGAAGCCAGTTAGGATGGGACACATACAGTCACTTTGGGGTCTACAATGAGAACAAACGGAAGAAAGGGCCAAGCAGGACTAATGACAAACCCAGACTCGAAGAGCACGCTGAGTGGCTGGGACTGTGGGACAGAGGAGTAGAAATGGTCTGAAAAGACTTCTCCCCTACAGTCCTCACTCCAGTACATCTACACACAGTACATCTGTAAGTCTCTGGGGCCAGAAATATACTTATTAATTAAACTAATTACATGCTTCCAAGATGAAGCAGACAAAGTAATAGATTTACCTGGGGTAAAATTTACATAAATAGTAGTTATAGAAAAGCAGCTTCTCATTCTTTTCTCCAGAGAAAAAGGTCAGATATACTTCAGTGGTAGACACTGTGAGAAAACACTTAGGGCTGTGAGTCTAGAACCTCTGGACCAATACAGAAGCCCCTAGGCCTGTACAAAATAGTCATGATTCCAGAAAAACAGCGTTGGTATCTATCCTTCACTTCCTATGAGACATGAATGCAAAATAGGGCTAATCATTCTGTCTCTACCTTTTTATCCTAGGCTACATTCCTATGAATTTTATTAAAGATGAATGTAAAGGTTAACTTAGTAACTTCAAAGTCTGATTATTTAGATACTCACTTCGCAGTTGTCTCTTTATTTGTTTTGCAGGATCTAGCCAGTTCTGCAGGGGAGGAAAAAAGAGGTTAATCAACCCATAAGAAATTTCCCAGAGTCCAAAATGGAACAGTTTACCTTTCACATACTTATTTAAATGTAAACATATTTTAATAAAGTCCTATTAGAAGCAGCTTCCACCTACTAGCATTCCACTGGGGAAAGTATCAATTTGTGTTTGAATGTGTTATAAATAAAATATTACAATTTTAAGGTGAATTCCTTGGGCCTCATTCTATGAGATATGAAATCAAACATCTATCCTAATGATGAGCCATAATATGTCTACATACAGTCTTTTTATTTTATTTTTCAATTATAGTTTATACTCAATATTATATTGTATTAGTTTCAGGTATATGGTATAGCGGTTAGATACACATAGTCTTCATTCCATGGAACTGCCAGGAAACAGGCCCTGTGGACACTGAAATGAGAGCTCAATAACTGGCTCCAGCTCATGAAGGCTAAAATGTGAACTGGAAACTACTAGTTAAGAGTACATACCACAATCAAACACAATGATCTCAACTCCTAAAGCCAACTCCTCCTCCTCCTCAAACTTTGTTTTTCCCTGCAACTATGCAATGCTACGGCGAAGTACTGTGACTGGAACAGAAATTTCCCTTCCTGGTCTTTGTGTAACATCCTGTTTAAACTTCATTCCAAGTTGGAAGCCACATTCATAAAAAACTCCGCTTCACTTTCCACTTACTTCTTCCCTTTGAGAAAGTTAACATAAAAAGATTCTAGGAAACTATTATAATATCCTAAAGCAAAAAAGGCCAAACTTGAACTACTAAGTTCAAGCCACCTAAGGACAATAAACGTTTGTCTTTCAAAGCTATGAGCAAAAGACCCATCCAAACAATTTTTATACATATTTTTGTTTATTTTTTATACTTCTCCTGCCTTAACCACAAGTGGCATTAGAGTTCACCTTGCTTTATCTTCATTAACACAGGAGAACAAGTACTTCTTCTGAGATAAAATAAATGATTCAAATAATTGGCTTTATAATAAGTTTCATTCATTCTGTAAATATCCTAAATAATGAATTGTAACATCTGTATTTAAACAGAATTTTATTCAGATACATAGAGCAAACAATTAAAATATTTATTATGTAGAAAATAATAGCCTCCTGTATCAATAAGATATTGAATTAGTACAACAGATATTAACTTATACAATAATAAAGTAATAGTAACAGGATGCTTTGAAAGCAAAGCTGCCCAGGCCCCTGTAGGTTTACTACACCTGTTCCAGCTTGCACTCAGGGCAGTAAGGTGTGCATGGCCCTGTTCTAACACTGGTTATATTCAAGCCTCTCAATAAAAAACTACCAGAGTTTGGTCTAGTTTCCTGTTACTAGTGTCCCAGCTGCATGGCCTAACGATGTGAAGGGTCAGTGGAACCCTCTAATGGTACCTCCAGTGCAATGTTAAGGAACAGCTCTAATTATCCTCTTAGAAAAGAGCCTAGCATTCAGCTTCCTTGCCCTGCAGCTGCTGTCCCACACAACAGCTGGCTCACAAATGGCCGGCTATGGTAAGTGAACAAAAATGAGAAAAACACACCCTTCAGTCTCTAGCCCCGATGGGGGAGAGGATGGGGGAGGCGAAGGAAGATCCAATGTTGCAGCACTTCAGGCAAGGAAACAACTACAGCAAGAAAACTGAATCTGAGTCACCTGGTGCCGAACTAAAGAGAAAAAAAATCCCTCAGAACGTTAATACAGAGAAAGAAGAGCATGGAGGGGAAACTACCGGGCTTAACGACCTAGACAGCCCCTTCCAGATCTCCAGTTTCATTGTGTGGCGTAGTATAGATGCCTGCTACAGAAAAGCAAAAAAAAAACCTCTCTGTTCGAGGAAGATGATAGAAGCAACATCATCTTCTATGACCCATCCCAGGAATAACCTAGTGTCCCAGCCATTTGGTGCCTTCCCTTCTCACCTAAGCACCAACCCCTTCTATGAGTTACCTGACAGTTTCTGTGCACAGGGAGAGTCACAGAGCTCTGTAGACTCAGGACTACGAGTGGTAAGTTTCTAGGCACCAAGCCAGCCAAATTCATTCTCAGGCCACCTTCCACAGCATTGCCAGCCACGGTATTAAAAGACTGAAGTGGCCTCTTTATTTCAGACCCCTATCAAAGACTAATGTGTCAAACCGCAGCAGCAGGAGAGGCCCCTTGCACTCTCGCATCTGGTCTCCCCTTGCTAAGCACACTCACTCACTGTGACTCCATTCCCACCGGGGCGCGAGGGGGTCTTCTCCCTCCGCAGCACAACTTAGCAAGCGCCAGGAGAGACCATATTATTTGTATCCTCCACAGTACTTGCCAGTTTTAGGCAAACAGTAGGTACTAAATCAATACCTGTTGACTAACATCTGCTTATTGCTTGCCTCCTCCCCCCAGTAGCTGTGATCATCTTAAAAGATCACCTACTCTATTATTTTATTATACTTATTTTTATTTAAATCATGAACTCCAATGAATACTTAGATCATGCATAGGATATAATTTTATGGCCTATGAACAAAACTCCTAAGTAAAAAACAAAAATTACTTAATATGACTTTTAAAAGAAATACAAATCTACTTATCTGCATTATCAATTACAAATAAATAATAGACATAAAGCTCTTTAACAAATAACAAACTTCTTGGTTTTGACACTTAAGGAGGAGGCTAGGTGGATCAAGCAGCAGACACAAAAAGGTGGAAAAAGTGAATGGCATAAATGCATACACATCATGACAGATTATGATGCATCATTCCCATTTTGTAAAGAGTTGGCTGCTATATTTATAGACTTTGGAATCAGAAATACAAAGAGTCAAATTCTGGCTTTCCACCAACTCTTATGTGAACTTGGGCTCATTTCTTGGCTTCTTTAAGCTTCAATTTCCTCGAGTGTAAGATGAGAATCATAGCATCCACCTCATAGGTAGTTCTTCTCTACCAATCATTCATTCAAATGCTTCCCGAATAGATGGGTGTGGTTTTTTGTTTTTGTTTTATTGCAATGATAAAATTAAATCACCGTATCATCTTTTGGTACATATCCCTTCTTCACATGACTTTATATTTCCAAAGGAGAGGTATCACACAGATTAAAGAAGTTAATATTTATATAAATATCTCTACCCACAAAAAGTTAACAAATCAGACTCTGGGATCACAAAATACAATCACTACATTCATGGGCCAGACGAAATAATAAGAATGCTCTTCCTCAGAGAAAACTACCTGATAATATCAGCCCTTTCTACAAAGCTGGCCAGCTGTAGTGAAGACTCTTCCTAGAAATGAGGACAATACAAAAACAGCACAATCCCTTCTCATGAAAAGAATTACCAGTATGACTAGTTCAATGCTTCTATGTACATGTTCAAGTATTATCTGGCTAAGCTTTTCTAAATATTGCCTGATGATGAGGATCCACCTGGCAAATCTGTTTAAAAGACAGATTTACCCGTTGCCCACCTGAAACATACTGAAACATTCCCCAGGACAGGGGCCTGACAATCTTATTTTAAATGACAGTTCCAGGTGATTCATGATCAGGCAAGTCAGGAATTTTCTGTGTTTCCCAAAGTTCAAGGTACAATCAACAATACAAAACTAAAAAGAGCGAAATCCTTGCTGGATTTCAACAAAATTGATTTTGGTTTACTAGAAATAAAAGTCAAGTATTCCAACTACTTAAGAGCAGGGACATTTATTCGCTCAACTTGGTATCTTCCCCTTCCTATCCCTACTGCACATCCAAAGTATGAACTCAATAAATATTCATCTTCTGAATGAACATCAGGTAAAATAAGCAATTAATAAAAGTTACCAGGAATCCTATCACAGGCTTCCAACAGAAGCAAACTAAAAGTAAAATGTGCTCCCAGAATGTCTTGGTTATTAAATCACCTTAGAACATGAAATCATGAGTTT